ACCGAAATCGTAATGAACGGAACGTTGCAATGCTACATGGTGCTAGCGCATGAACGCAAACTTCTCAGAGGTTCCAACTTCGCCTGATAAGCTCCTTATCACTGCTAGCCATCAAAGGCGGACAGTTCTGCGCGCTTCGAAGTTGTCTAGGCAAAGGTCAAATGTTAGGACCAGGTCCTTTGTGGACCATTGCGATTAAACGAGCTGTATCGGTCTCAGAGCCATATGGAAAAATGGGGATTTCACTTTCAGATTATGGTGTCTCGAGACTTTGGGAGTGTTCACGGGCGATCTTTGAGTGGTCCGAAATATCTGTTACATTGCACACTGACCAGTGTGCTTTACCTACCACAACAGCACATCGTTAGCTGATCGATATGCTTTTTTTTGTCCAGATATTCGGGTATGTGTCAGTTCCTGCGTCCCAGGACGCGCACTGCAAACTGCGCGGCGGAGCTCGTAGCGTTTTGGACGACTGCAGCGTTCATCGTTGGGGCCAAATTTGAAGTAGAGAGATTAGAAGAATTATCTGACCCTACTAAACTACTCTACTTCAAATTTAGGCCTCGAAAATTGGCGTCAGAGTCGTACAAATCGTCAATGACTTCGTCGCACAATTTGCCGCGCGGGGGACGGAACATTCACCCAGAACTGTATGAGCGCGGCAAATGGCGCGTCGAAATTCGTGGCGTTAGGACGACATTGGCACCTATCATTTAGGCACAAACTTGAAGTAGAGTACATTAGTATGGCCAGATGATTGTACTAGTCGACTCTACTTCAAATTTGGGCCAAAATCTTAGGCGCGGAAGTCGTTTGAATCGTCACGAATTTTGCCGCGCGATTCGCTGCGTCCATCCAGTTCTGGGTGAATGTACCCATACACTTTGCCGCGCTCGTCCTCGGACGCACGAGGTGACTGTCCTCCTAGATATTTACCTCGCTAAGTCCGATACGCTTATTGTTATGACGTGGTTTCTCTTCGAGACACAAGTTTTCACCAGATTGTGTGTGTGTGTATGTGTGTGTCTGTGTGTATGTGTATGTGTATGTGTGTGT